GGGACCCTGTCAGTTTACCTATCACCCCTTCTTCCTCCTTCAGAAGAGAATCCCAATTCTGCTCAACTATCCACGGATCTCTCATATAACCCATGTGATTCAGGAAGCTTACCCATTTCTAACTCAGAGCATAGATTCTGATTAGTCAAAGCAAACCAATGGATAGCATTTTCCTGGTGACTCTAAATGATCATAAAGTGTGCATATAATCTAAACTAGCTCAACCAGAATAAACGAAAGCATTCATATTTCATATTTAAGGAACACATCCTTCCCTGAGGAAGACATTTCTCCCTTCTCCCCACCCATATCTCTATCTTCTTCTCTCTCTCCCTTTCTCCTAATGCATGAAATTAAAGACACTGCTTTCCACAATTTCTATTGGCAGCTATCTTGTGACCAGAAGAACTAGTCCAAAGCTGAAACAAGGTATGGATTGCCTACCACAGCTATGGAGACTACCTGGCTTCTTTGATATTTCTGAGCCACTGAGTCGCTCAACTCTAAAGCCTACCCTGTTTAGGGATTATATAAGATAATAAATGTTCTATTTTTTAAAAAAGAAAAACCCATCAATTGTCAATCTGACTTTTCTAGCTATACTTATTAAATTTATATAATTTAAAAAAGACACATTGATTATATATTTTTTAAAACTGCTAAGATGAACAGGTTCAAAGATCATTATTTCAGTCTTTTAAATGAAATTCACTATCTTAAAGCTAAGATCCAAACTGTTTGAAAACATCACACTAGTTTAGAATTCAACAATCCACATCACTAGTTTTGAAGTGTTCCCCGGTATGTCAAGATTTGAGGAACCCTCATTCCAGTCCTATTTGTAAATGTCATATAACTAACAATACCCATGCAGCAAGGAATGATGTGTCAGCTTCTATTAACAAAATGTAAGACACAAGATACTTTTGTTATTGTACATAGTTTTCTATATATTTTATTTAAACTCACATATTCACTTTCTTGTTCTGCTAAGGTTTAAAACTATATCCTCTCCATCCTACTTTGCTTAAAATGTGTTTTTATTTGAAAATACTGACCTAATATTGGGCAAGTTTGGTTTTTTATTAATATTTTTCCTTAATATGTTATTTCAGTGAATTTCACACATGACATTATGTAGAAATGCAGTTTCACAGTATAAAGCAATTTTGTGGGGATTTGATATAAATTAAAAATCACTGGATCAAAGGAAATGCATTACATGGTGGCTAGCAGCATCAAGAAATTTTGAATGATAATGTCAAAAGAGTAAGATTTATTCCAATCTACAAGGAGATGATGAATGATGTTGTGACCTCTGGGACAGCTAACATAATTGGGCACATTAATAATAAATTCTTAAAGAAAGAAACCCACAGTAAACAAAAAAGATACCACCACTAAACTTCAGATGATCTGTCCATGTGTCTGTTAGCTGAGGGCTCAGAGGGAAGTTAATCAAAGGCATCCCATTGTCTTCCCTCTCCCACCAACCAAGTCAACAGTATTGGCACAGACTATGTAACTGATCAAGGCCCCTATTTGCAATTCCTGTAGTCTCTGAGGCATTAGTTTGTTTTCCCAGGAGACTACCTGTTGTTTCCATTCTACTCAAATGATACAGTTACAATTGTAATTAAGAAAAAAGTATGTCTTCACCTTTCCATACCTCATATATAGAAGGTGGTTGTTGGGGAAGGAGGAGACAAAACTCCATTAATGAGTAAATTTTTATATGATGGTAGGTATATAATTAGTATCTGTGTTAACCAAACACAATTTGGCCCATAAATAGTGTAAAACGGCGTGGATGTATTTAAAATTGTTCACAAATAGGGACAGTTTTAAATGTGCACAACTCTGCATTGAGAGGGGATAGAATTAGAGAATAGTCTCCCTAGAATTAGAATGCCTGCAATTCTCTGTTCTTCTTACACATGTTCTACTTTGTCAATTGGATTTAGTTCAAGTACATAAGGTCATATTTGTAAGGGGGAAAAGTCTGTGGAAAATTTATGGCTAAGAGAGTGCCCACTATGATCTCGCAGCAGGGCATGCACAGGGGACAGAAGAAAGAATTGTGCTTAGGTGAACTACAAACCACATACATAAACAGAAGGGGCAACAGGGTACAGGAACAAATTATATTCAGTAACTTTCTACAACTGAAGGAAAGCAATGTCTTTCCATACGCATACATCTCTATGTCCTTATCATTTGTATAAATGCATCATAAAGTCACTGAGACCATCATCGTGGCAGTCTTCACATTGCAGTGCTGTCATTTCACATTTCCACATCAACAACTTCTAATGGAGAGAGAATGCTGACTTTAGTCCCTTCGTGATTTACTTGAGAGCTGTTTCAGCTAATTTTTTTTTGCTCATAAGAAACCCCTTTAAAATATAACTCTCAAAATGGAAAAGAGAAAAAATAATGAATGTGGTGGATCCAGATTATATTAAATAAGCTTTTATAACCTTTAAAATATAATAAATGTACAGTTAAAAATAGCTTTGAATTAGCAAAAAACTGTCCCCGAACCAGGTTTTTCTGCTGACCTAACTTCTTAATATTGATTTTTAACAATGGTGGAATAAAAAAATGAAAAGAAAATCTCATACAAAAAAACTTCTACCCATGCATTAAAAAAATGTATGCAATAAATTAAATATGAATTCTACCTTAGGGTTCTGGTGGGAAATCATTCTAGCTTTGCTGTCATGATTTATGGACATCTCCAGAATGCTTTTCATAAAGTTATGTTCTTTTATTAGATGGTTGATAATTTATTCTTTTTCTATGTGCATAGGGCAGCAATAATTTAGTAAGACTGACTTAATTAGATCATCATAATCCATCGATCTTTACAACAATAGATTACAATTTAGATACTCTGTCCCCGCCCTCTGGAACACTGAGACACATCAAGCAGTGTATGTAGAAACTGGAGCTCACCTGGATAGTTTGAAAACTGAATTCTTGCAACTATGTCACAGAAAGTTTGTACTTCAATCATTTAGTCTTAACACGTAGAGCAAACGGGGAAAAAACAACCTCACAGTATAATGAATTAGTTCCTGACCATACTTTGAAATATTAATATGCAATTCAGTTTCATTAAAACCAATTAAAAATGCTTCAAATCGGAGGTTAAAATAAACTTAGAATAGGCCCTGGCCAGGTAGCTCAGTTGGTTAGGGAATCGTCCAGATACTCCAAGGTTGCAGGTTCAATTCTGAGTCAGGGCACATATGAGAATTGATCAGTGAATGCATAAATAATAAGAGGAACAACAAGTTGCTCTCTCTCTCTTTTTCTCTCTTTCTCTATCAATAAAAAATAAAGTAAAATTAGCATAGAAAATACTATTGAAATTAGAATAAATAATGTCATTTTACTTTTATAAAATGTTTCTGCATAAAAAAAATAATACACGGTCATGAATATGATCAATTCAGGACATAATTTAAAATACTCTTGCCCAGCTAGAGTAGCTCAATGGATGAGAATTGACCTATGAAGTAGGAGGTCATGGTTCAATTCCAGGTCAGGCACATGCCAGGGTTGTGGGCTTGATCCCCAGTGTGGGGTGTGCAAGATCAATGATGCTCTTTCATCATTGATGTTTCTATCTCTCTCCCTCTTTCCTTTCCTCTCTGAAATCAATAAAAATATATTAAAAAAATACTCTCAACAGTAAATATAAAATAAATAAATTCACAATAATTCACTTCCTGATTATTAATCTAGTCAGGTGTATAGACCAAAATACTTTTAAAACTTTAATACACTATGAAAAAGATCATATAAGCCTGACTGTATTCTTTGGTTTGTGGGAAAGAAAGGCATGCTAAAAAACCATACCAAAGGTTACCATCAAAATGATTATACTATTAGACAGTGAATGGCTAAGGGAGCACAGAACTCATGTAATTTGGTCTAAAATCACCAATTAAAAAATCATGTGGGCTTTTTATTTTATTTTAAGTGCAGGCAATAAAACATGAGTGCATTCTTGTCACTAAAAACCTGGGTTACAGAATGTCTAGTGTAATATAGACTTTTTAATATTTATCCCACCTTATAAAATGAGATAAATATTTTGTTAAGGCTTTTGAATCTATGTTTAGATTTCTCATTTCCCACCTATGAAACTACTATGCCAGTCATTTTTTCTTGCATTAGCATGTGTTGAGGTGTGTTTTCTGTATGTGTATGTATGTAAGGCATTGGTAATATGTGTTTCTGTATTATAGCAGGGTTTGTTATTATTAACTAGTGCCCTAGTGCACGGATTCATGCACATTGAAAGGAAATTAATTAGAAGGTGGCCATGGGATGGGACTGGGCAAGACAGGCCAGATACGCCCTGTAGCCAACCTCCCGTGGTCCCTTCCTGGCTGGCCGCACCTGGGGCAGCACTGCAGTACAAAAAGCATCTGTGGAGTGAACGGGGTCTCTCCAGCTAGTGGGGTCTTTCGGTCTGGCCTGCAGGGATCCAGCCGAAACCAGCTCTCCAACATCCCCTGAGGAGTCCCAGAATGCAAGAGGGTGGTTCTTGGGTGCCAGAATTGGGTTCCCTCCTCTCTTGGGTGTGTCACCCAAGAACCGCCGCTGCCAAGTCACTGCAGCTCGGCAGCTCCTGCGTTGAGTGTCTGCCCTGTGGTGGTCTGTGTGCATCATACCAATCGGCTGGTCACTGAGTCTTTTATATATATAGATGCTTCAATTAGGTGCAAATTCAATTGAAATAGCTAATGTAATCATGTTTAATTCAAATATGGCAAAAGTTCATTTACCATTAAGTCTTAGGTTTTTTCTCTCTGATGTTTTAGGAATATAAGTATAACCCCATGCATAATTTTAGGACAATATTGTTTCCTTTAAAATCTGAACTAAATAGGTTAAAGAGCTTTTACTTCCCTTTATTACAACAAAAACAACAGAATAAACCAGGGGCATTTAGCCTTTTCAGAGTGATAGGGAAAATTTCTAGAAACTATGGTCTCTCTCTCTCTCTCTCTCTCCATATATATATGTGGTAGGCATCAAAATCTAAGCCTACAGTTCAGAATTTTGAGGGAACTTGGGAAGACTAGGGTATGAATTACATCCTGTTTCCTGAAACCCAAATAAAAAAGTAGCCCTATTTACAAGCTATTCAAGGAGAATTTTAGCAAGAAATGGAACCTCAGAGATCATTTAATTTAAACTTTTCTCATAGAGATGAGAAATGGAGAACTAGAAGGGTGAAAGAATTTGCTAAAGTGACAGAGCCAGAATGAAAAACCCATGATTCTTGATTACCAGTTCAGCTTTGCCTCAATTCGCTATATAGCACTCCCCCCTCCACACACACACACACACACACACACACACATACTTTTATACACTGGATGAAAACAGAAAACAGTAGAGGCATATTTCACTTAGTATTTGATGCTACTCTGAAGAATATTAAGCTTTTGTTTAAAAGTAAACTCTTGCCCCAAAATTAACCTTAATAAGAGTATTTAGCAGATTTCATAATCCAATTCAATTATGGGGACTCTAGGAAATATTACAAGCATTTACATCGTTTCTGTTATAAAACCCCCCTTTCAAGAAATAATAAAATATGAGCATACCATCTTCGTCAGTTTGAATAATCGTCTCTTCACTCTCCTTCCTGCCTTCTGGGTTGGTGAGGATCATCTTGAGGCTGACGTTCGTATAAGGTGGCAGATGGTTCACAACATGCTGAGGGGCTTTGGGGTCCATGTCCAAGCAGTCTGCCTTGCTCTCGTTGTGACCACGGAAGTAGTGGTAGCAGATAGTGACATTAAAAGTGTGGCAACGGGTAATGTTGTAACCCAAGGATTCCCAGTCCACGGCAATGCGCCTGGCCTGGATCTCAGCGATCTTTAAAGTCTTGGGGGTTCGCATAGGTTCTGAAGAATCAATCAGAGACAAAGACAGCTGTTAGCTTTTTACAAGAATACTCTTGAAAACATGAAACACTAATCATGACATGTGTCAACCAGGAAAATTTGGAACTCAACTTTTATTCTCATTTTATTTACTCATGATTCTATCCTTGAAGATTTTGGTTAAGGGCGATATTTACCAATGGAAAAAGTGAAATGTAAAACGTCAACAATCCATAGTACTCAGGAACATGGTACAAAATAGAACATGGTACAAAATAAAAACCTGCAAATGTAGCCACGATGCCTTTATAGTTGCTGCTGTTGTTACTGCTCAATTCCTGTCTTTTATTTTGTCATTATTGAGCAAGTGGATTAGCTAATATATCATAATGGATAAGAATCAACATGTTCTGCTCTATGATTTGTCATATCACCAAGCTACGCTGTATACTAATTAGTCTAATTGTAACACTAACCTACCACTTACAAAAAAGACGCAGATATTAATTAACATTTATTACTTCAGTAACGATGTTGTTCATCAAAGCAGAAAAGTATCTGAGAAAAACTGCAAGAACACATGTGGATATTCACACTGTCATCTATCCTTTTTGATCTCTACCCTTTTCTAGGAAACACTCAGGTGTGACCATCCATTCACTGTCACCCAGACCAAACTGAGAGGTGAATATTCATTCAGTTGGAAAATGCTGGTGGAACTAAACACTCCGAAGACTGGAGTCCATCCATCACTGCTTCCCAAGTGTATTCTTACCTCATGCAAGACTAACTTTAATCGTCTAACTTAATCAAAACAATGACTCTATGAAAATCATGGCCATGGCAAAGTCTACACAATAAACAAACTAATACACAGCACACTTTAATGCACGGATTTGAAAAGATGATTAAAGTCAAGGCCAAGGTCAAGGCCGTTGGGGCCCCCCTTAACTCATTATAGTCACTGCTCTAGCTAACTGAAAATCAGTAGGGAAAATAGATGACAAATAAGTAAAAAAAAAAAAAAAAAAAAAAAACAAAAAAAAAGCGCCCAACTTGGTGTTTTTATAAATTTTGATTATTGAGATTAAATTCTCAGTTATGTGAGCCTTAGCTGGCTTGGCTCAGTGGATAGAGCGTCAGCCTGTGGACTGACGGTCCCAGGTTCGATTCCGGCCAAGGGCACATGCCTGGGTTGCAGGCTCGTTCCCCTAGGGGGTGTGCAGGAGGCAGCCAATCAATGATTCTCTCTCATCATTGATGTTTCTATCTCTCTCTCTCCTTCTCCCTTCCTCTCTGAAATCAATAAAGAAATATATTTAAAACAAAAATAAATAAATAAATAAAATAAAATCTCAGTTATGTGAAAATTATCAGCATGGTACACAGATGGCAAGTCCAAATTGAAATTCCAGTTCAATGTATTTAATGTATGATTTGAAATACACTGTAGTAGCTATTTAATTAAAAACTTCAAATCTACAAAATACATACATTTACACAAGCAAATTAACCACTGGTAGAATCTAAATGCTTAGGTTTTAAATGCTGTCAGTCATCTGACAGTATCAATTCTCCTTATTTTATCACTTTCATTGCATGTTTTACCTTAAGCACCGAAGTAGGCTCGAATAAAGATGTGACTCTTTAATCACTTTAATAGTGTCTTTATATGTCTAGCTCTGTGATAGCATTTATCTTACCAGGCACAAGAGACTCTCGGTCCAGCACAGTTAGACTGAAAATGATCTGTAGTACCACCTACCAGCTGACCGGGCAATTATAGCTAAGTTCATGCTAAGATTCCCAGATAAATTGTGATTTTGCTGCCTGCTAGGCAACAATACAATTTAGTGGCGATGTTTACATCAGACCATACTTTGTTCTAAAAGTATCTAGAATGAGAAAGTGAGATTTTCCCCAGAAAAATACCTGGAGTATACGAATAAAGATCTCCCGTACAACAATGAGAGAAAACACCAATAAATATTTACTCCTCTATTTAGTTTTTTTTTTAAACAAGTATTAATGTACTTGTTTGCATACACTCATTTTGATTTTGATATTTCCCCCCTTCATTAATATTCTCTTTTTCTAAGTAATCATGTTTGCCTATCTTATGTAGAACATAATGAGTTCCAAGCAATATCCTTCTACTTATATATATTCTATGAGAATTTAAGCAATTCAAGAAGGAGAAGTAACCTCCACCTGTCAAATAAAGGAGACATTTGATTTAAGTCTCAATGGATAAGGCAACATCTATAGACACATTTTGATGTTTTTTAAATAGATTTTTATTGATTTCAGAAAGAAAGGGAGAGATAGAAACATCAATGGTGAGAGATAATCATTGATTGGCTGCCTCCTACATGCTCCACATTGTGGACTGAGTTCACAACCTGGGCATGTGCCTTGACCACTGAATTGAACCGTGACCTCCTGGTTTATAGGTTGCCGCTTAACCACTGAGCCATGGCAGCCGGGCTCATCATTGAAATTTCTATCTCCTTCTCCCTCTCCCTTCTTCTACGAAATCAATAAAATATTGATTTTATTTATGCATAAATATAAATTTAAAAAGCCCAGTTTTAGAAAACTGGAAATATAAGGAAAATCTCCTTCTTTTCCATTCTACCCTTTAAATGATGAATCTTAACTCCTCTTGTTAAGTGCCCAGTGGACAGATCTGCACCAAAATTTTTATTCATTCATTCATTTCTGATAAATCCTAGAAAACATCTAATTTTTTAAAAAGCATATGCAATGAGAAATGTGAGTATTAGCCAATTTTAGCTTCCCTGCCAAACGTTGATCAGCCAGGCTTACTAACTTTTCCCATTCCATTTTTCTTTTGTTTTTCACCTATTTCCTAGTTGCTACGGTGAAAAAGGCTACATGAAATCAAGGTGAAATTTTTAAAAATGGCAAAAAATTTATATATCAAATCTATGATCAGAATTATATAATTAGCAGGTAAGTAAAAAAGGAACATATAATTACCTATACTTAAATTTTAAATAGATGGAGCCATGGGGCCATGCCTGTAATAATTTATGTTAAATATTTAACTCAATTCAAGAGGATAAAATAAAGACTCAACTCTGAAGGTTAAGAAAAATAAAAGCAACACGAACTGACAAAACCTATTGACTCTGAGTTACCTCTCAACAAAAAGATGATTTAATAAGTGGTTCTAGATAGCAGATAAAAAGCCATTCAAGTTTTTCGTACTTGCTAAACAACACGTGACATGACAGGTCAATATCCATGTCCTTTTGTAATGATAATTTCTAGTCAGTCTGAAAGAACTGTGAAAACAAAAGCTTTAGCAGCTACAAGAGAATGGAGGGCAGGGATCATATTTCCCTAGAATCAGTTTTTAATGATAAAAGTTATTTTCCTGCTGTCAGTCAGAGAAAAATAGAAGATGTCCCAAAGCTCATCCAAGAAAAAAGAGAAAGATCTTGTCAAGGATGTACACAAACTAAGAACACTGAAGCATGACAGGAGCTTCGTGCTCCCAGCTGCTTTCTCATCAGAAATCCTAGAAGCTGACCGCAGAGCACAATTTCCATCCCATTTATCAAAACAAATACAAGGGAAGTGGATTCTATTTTCCTTCTATTCCTGACTGCCAGAGAAAATATTTGTTGATGTGAAACAAAATATAATTGAGATAATCTTTTTGAACAAAGGTGAATTTTTTAAAAAGTAAGAAGGAAAGCATTGGCATCCCTTGAGGGATGAAAAAAAATCTTAAGGTCTTTGGAAAATATTCTTTTACTTTTCCCCACTGATGCTTTGTGTTTTTTATCATTTTTTCCACGGTGAGAATTGAGACTAATCAACATTTTACCCTGTACCTCTTTTCAATCTCATAAAATTATTAGTCTTGCCAAAAAGATTTCATCTCTGCTCCCATGGGTCAAATTGAGTTAATGATAAGTTGGTGAGATGAGTTGATTAATACTTAACATGAGGGAGCCTGAGGTCCAGGAATAATCGCAAGCCAACTGTCAGCTCTTTGGGCTGAAATGACATGCTTAGACGTAGGGGCTATAAAGTGACACGGTGTGCATGGCTCACTCAGCTCTCCTGCAGCCACAGTAATATTTATCCAGCTCCACCAGAACAATACTAAGCACATAATCAAATTCAATCAAAACATGTCATCTTCACTGCTCTCAAGAGTCTTACTGAAGTTCATCAGATAATTCTAATAAACTTAACATTACCATCCTCTCTACAATAATGCCAAGGAAATGAATTGATTTTTAAAACACAATAATACCAAAGTGACATGAAAACAAGATGAAGAGAATTCTTTTTACCAAAATTTAAATTGAATGTCTTATCATAAAACCTAATTCTCAAAATATAGGGGTTAAAAATTTGAGGAACCTTTAATGTTTTTTACTTAATTAATAAGAAACATGTAATTATCATCAATGAACCCACTTTGACTCATCTTTGATATTGCATCTCTCACTTATGTTTTATAATTTAATGAAAACACAAAAAGTAAAATATGCTCTATAAATAATTGCTAATACTTGTATAAAACATAATATAGGAAAAAGGACACTTTCTTAATTTATGAAAATAAATAAGAATAATCTACTTTTCCTCTATAAGTAAACATTTTTATTAAAATATTAAACAGCACTAATAGGATGCAAAAAGGTAGAGAGATTTGTACATAATGCTAAAAAATGTAGTATGGAAAGTAGCACTTCCATATATAAAAAAGTGACCTTGGAGGTCTGTATATAGCAATAAAAACCTTGAGAGGGGATTTTCAATGTTTTCTTTATCCCCCAAAATAAGATAAGTTACCTAATTCTTTGGTTGTCCTAAAAATGAGGTAAATAATTTATATACCAAGCAAAGTCACTGACCCATAGTATAATTCTGGAAATGGTTATTTTCTGAATGATAAAGCAAATAATTTTAATGTTTTAACCTCAAGAGCTAATGAAAGACATCTAAAGAACCAAATTCTGCGTGGTAGTTACAAT